GGAAGGGAGCGGCTGGGGAAAGCCGGGCTTCTAAATCCTTCCACCTGGCCTCGGAACCGCAGCTCAGGGCCGGCCCGTGGGCAGGCAGGGGCCCCAGAGGCCGGGGGGCTCAGCCCTCCCCCCGGGACCCCGCGCTTGCCTTTCCCAGGGGCTCAGCACATGTACAGTCGTGTCCCTCGGCAGAGGCAGAACATAAGATGGGCAATCATGTCAGCGTGGTGCGGGAGCTGCAGCGGCTGCCAGGGAGAGGAAAACCAAGGCAGAGAGAGGGGAGCTGCTTGTTAACCTGGGCGGCAGAGGCAGGGCTGGGACTCGGGCTGCTCGGCTGCCTTTACCCTGTCCCCTGGGGTCACCCAACCAAACCTGTGGTCCTAGGCAATCTGTGATTAATTTGCAAGGAAATAAATAGTATTTAAAAAATATAAAAGTCCAGAATAAATGATTCCCGGAGGATATGTCAGTCAGGTTTCTGTTCACTCTAATGTGGCTGGCTCATCTTGTTTATTTATATTAATTGCAGCTTGATAATGGCTTGGAGCTGCTGTACAACCGCTGCTGCAGGGGTCCACAGAGGAGGATCTCAGTGGAGGAGGAGGAGAGCATTGTGCCCCTGTGCCCGCTCTCCCCATGGCAAGTGAGGGGCTGCACAGGATTTTGAGAGCTCCCCAATGGATTTGCTGTAGGGAGGCAACAGGAGTGAGGGCTGGCTGTGCAAGGCTGAGCTTGGGGTGCCTTGTGGGCAGCAGGCATTTGGCTGCAAGGCAGCGTGCAGGAGCCCTCATCTCCACTCCCTGGCTCTCCCAGCAGCAGGAGCTGGGAGAAGTCTCCTCTGATTACTGTTGATATTAATGTTTACGGGGCCACGGTGCTGGGAGGCGCAAGGAACAATCTGGAGCCCCGGGGCACAGAGCGAGCACGCAGTGTGTGACAGCTCCTCTCCTACAGACTGCCCGAGCTAAATGGACCTGACACTGTCGGGAGGAGGGGAGCCAGTGCATTCTCTCTGCTCTCTGGGGAAACTGAGGCACTGGCACGGTGTGCCTGCATCAGCCAAGGGGCCTGGGAGTGCTCAGAGTGGCTGTGGAGCCAGTGGGGCAGGTGAGCATGAGCATGGGCTCTCAAGATAACCAACCACAAGCCACGCATACTGCGGTCAGCAGAGCCCTGGGGCAGAGACAACAACACCCCTGGAGAAGCTGGTGAAGCCAATGTGGTTCCTTGATGCATAGGACTGTGGGAAAAGGTGCAACCATAGCCCTCCTGCCCACCTTGAAGCTTTGCAGGCAGCTTGCACTGAGAGGAGTGAAGCAGTGCTGAAAATAAGCTTTAAGAAAAGGAAGGCAGCGAGGATCCCATCAGGCGGGCGAAGGCAGTGCTGATTTGTTGCTGGCTGGGTTGGGGGGGAAGGAGCAGGAGCTGCAAAAGCAGAGCCCAGCTGTGCCCAGGGGATCTCAGGCACTGCGCCTCATCCTGGCCAGGGGATTTTTGGGAGTGACAAGAATAGGTTTCTTCCCATGTTCCTCAAATCAGAGCGTGAGGTGAGTCTTCTGTAAGCAGCAGAGATGCCTGCAGCAGGCAGCTGCCAGTGCTGGGCTCCTGGAGACAGGCATCTACCACCAGGTTGTCCTTTGGCTGTTCTTCCCAGAGGCAGCAAGACCAGGCAAGGGACATGGGACAAGGACCATGCCCTGACTCAGGGTGTGGGCAGCAGCTGCCAGCCTGGTGCAGACCCCAGACCTGGACTTCCCTGCGTCCCTGCCCCGGTGCTGTCCCTGTCACAGTGCCAGGCTCTGCTAAAGGGGCAGATGCAGGCAACAGAGACTGGGGTTGCTGAGACAGGGAGACAAGCGTGATACCTTTTTTCCCCGTTCTCCCCACTGCCCACATCAAACTGTTTCCCTGGGAACAGATACTTACCTGCCTCAAATCTGCCTTGCTCCAGAG